AGGCGTTTGACGACATGATGGAGAACACCAAAGTCAAGCCCTGGTACAGACGCATGGAGCGAGCGGCGCTCAACCACGAGGTCGCAAGTGAAGCCGGACTGACGTGGAAAACGGGTGAAGTGACCTTCAGCCTCAAAAAGACTTGAGTGACCAGCGACGAGAAGATCGCTTTGAGAGCGCTCACTGCTGCCGTGGTCGACTTCCTGCAGAGATCAATGAACACGTACAGAAATGTACCGTAACAACTTATTTTATAACCGAGGAGGAACCCTGAAAACCTGCTTTTCACGTTCTATCATTTGTACTGACCTCTAGTGGTGAACGGCTTGAACTACAACACACCTGCACAGAGCACCTGACATGATGCATTTCTGTTAATATCCTGCAAATATGTTTCTTTATGTTTGATTAAATGAATGATGAGAAAAGTCATCCTCTCCGTCTTCTGCCTGCTCCACTTTTCAGAAAATGTGTGCTCAAACAGGCCGTTTGGAGATTTTCCCTTCATGACATCACAAAGGGCAGTAGCCCCTCCCCCAGGTGGGTGACACTCCACAGCTAGGTGTTTGTTCTGCCCTCTGAGTCTGCCTTCTCACCGTAAGCAATAGGACATGGAGAGAGAAAGACCAGAGTACACCCAAGCCCTTCTAGAGAGGGGCGTGGTCAGACACAGCTCATTTACATATTTAAAGGTACAGACACAGAAACAGCCTGTTTCGAGCAGGGCTGAAATAGAGGGGTTTATAGACATGATCAAATACAGGATCAGAGTGGATTTAGAACAAGAAACTTCACGTTTTGAGGAGCTCTGAGACTTATTGAAACTGAAGGAGGATATGTGAGCTTTAAACTGGATAGTAAAAGGATTGACGCTTTTAAGTATCTGATGAAAAAAGTGAAGCCTTTAATCAGCTTTGATCTGTTTAATCCCTCAGAGTATTTCTTAAAAAGGTCTACATGTCATCCTGAAGAGTTTAAGTGCAGCACAGTGAACACAAAATTAATTACTTACCAAAACAACTGAATACTTTCTCAACATGCTGATGGATTCTGCGCCCCTGAATCTGAATGATTTAATGACATTTGTTCTTTTCATGACGGGTGAAGAGAAAAAAACAGACTGGAGGAGGATGAAAGTATCCGATAAACTGCAGAGGAAGTTTTTATTTCAGACATTTGTGAATTTAATGCAGATTACATCTCATGTAAAAACCAACATTATAGCTTAAACACACACTTCCACTCAGTCACATTCCTGTTTCAACGTGACATCACCGAATCGTTCGTTTCTGAAATCCTGACCGATAACGTCAGCACGTTTACATTTCTGATGGGAGGTGAAAACATCGCTCACATTGATTCAACAACAGCTCTAACCCGCCATCCTCACGCTGGATTACATAAAAAAATAAAATAAATATCAAAGTTCATATCATGAAACTCTATTTTTGATTTGAACAGAGGCCGTGGAGACTTCTTAAAAACAGACAGAATATAAATCGTATTTACCTCCAGCTGGACGTCAACACAAAAGAGATAAAGTGAAGCAAACAGCCCGACAGTGAGTTCGCTGAGCGGGTTCAAAGGTCAACATGCAGGAGACGCTCACATCTCAACCCAGAGCAGGATTAGTTCACACCATCGTTACATCTGCTCTTTGGTTACACACACTCAAAGATTAGGAGGAGCATTTTAAAGATGGAAGAAGCAGCGGTGATAGAACTACAGATGCATGTTTGAACTACAACTCCCAGAAACCCACAGACACCGTAAACTGAGAGGACGGGTGTTTTGATGATTATTCCTCTCTCTAATGAATCACAGGATGCTTTTAATTTCAATCACGGAGAAATGGACTTCCAGAACACCTGACTGTTGTCGCCGTTTGATCTACAAAGGCTCAAGTTTTGTTTTTGTTTTTAAATCGAGCTGCGGCCTCGAACTCATCCTGATGAAGACAAACGGACAAAAAGCTCAGCGTTCAAACATCGTCAAGCGACCGTGCAGTCAGTCTCTCTTCATCGTTTCCTCTCTGATTTATTGTGTCCTAAACGCCGTCACCCAGCAGCGTCCATCACGCCGCCCTCCTCCATCACGTCCTCCAGAAGGTGGCGCTCAGCTGGCCTTTAGGCGGGCTGATCTGTCGGCTCTGCAGAGACGTCTACGAGACGGAGGAAAAAATGTAATTCAGCAAAACAGAGCTCACAAAGACGCGCCACATAAATCTGTATTTCTCTCATGCAGTTTAGCAAAATGACTCAACAGCGCCCCCTAGAACTTTTCCAAAATGGCCTCCCCCGTAGAGGTTACTTTGACCTACATGTATGAAACTCAGTGTGCATATAAAAAAGCCAAAACCCAACAGGAAGTCCGACTCTTTGATTTGAATTTCAAAATAAAAAGTCTAATGTTTGCATCTGACAGGTTTCCTATCTGAACAAATCCTCAACATGATTCTACATCAAAGGGTGTGATTTTGTGGCTCGTGTGGTGTGCTGTGATGTCAGGTGGTTCTCTGAGAACACCGACCTCTGACCTCTGACCTCTGACCTGTGGAGCGGCTGGCGAGCGAGAGCTTCTCTCTAACGTACCTCCAGAAACTGTTTGAGTCTGATGACGGAGCCCATCTGTCCGTGCTGGTCACCGCTTCAATCCTGCACAAAGCAAAAGACACAAAGTCAAACACACCTGTGTGTGTGTGTGTGTGTGTGTGTGTGTGTGTGTGTGTGTGTGTGTGTGAGAGAGAGAGAGTGAGTGAGTGAGAGAGTGAGAGAGTGAGAGAGTGAGTGAGTGAGTGAGTGAGAGAGTGAGTGAGTGAGTGTGTGTGAGAGAGAGAGAGAGAGAATGAGTGAGTGAGTGTGTGAGTGAGTGAGAGAGAGAGAGAATGAGTGAGTGAGTGTGTGTGAGAGAGAGAGAGAGAGAATGAGTGTGTGAGTGAGTGAGAGAGTGAGTGAGTGAGTGAGTGAGTGAGTGAGAGAGTGAGTGAGTGAGTGTGTGTGAGAGAGAGAGAGAGAATGAGTGAGTGAGTGTGTGAGTGAGTGAGAGAGAGAGAGAATGAGTGAGTGAGTGTGTGTGAGAGAGAGAGAGAGAGAATGAGTGTGTGAGTGAGTGAGTGAGTGAGTGAGTGAGTGAGTGAGTGAGTGAGTGAGTGAGTGAGTGTGTGTGTGTGTGCGCGTACCTGGGGAAATATTCCTCTTTAAGCAGCAGGATGAGTTCCAGAACTGATACTGATATTGTTTCACCAGAGCGTAACCACACACCTGAAGGAGACACAAACACACACACCTGAAGGAGACACAAACACACACACCTGAAGGAGACACAAACACACACACCTGAAGGAGACACAAACACACACACCTGAAGGAGACACAAACACACAGACGTGTAAACTGTGAGAGCGCTCACACACACACGAGGACAAATAACCATGGAGTGTGGAGAGCGACGATGTCATGTGACCCAAACAGCTCAACACACACCAACACAATAATTCACCAACAACCAGAATCCTGACTCTGAACATGTCACTGAATCTCTCACCGTCACACATGACTTCAGAGTTAACAAACATGGCCGCCTACAGGCATGGAGACATTTAGATGTTTCACAAAGAACGAGGTTAACATGAAGACGAAGACGTGGAGACGGCGTTAAGGTGGACTGAACAGGTTACAGAGCGAGATGGAGGAGAGAGTCGTTTCATTCATGTGACATTTCCAGAATAATCAGGACTGTGATTCCATCTCTCTGGTTGTTAAACCTCTGTGAGCCTCTGTGTCGGTGATGTGATGTGAGAATAAATCTGCAGCTTTACAAACAGGAAGGAGCAGAACTCACCTCCAGGAAGTCGAACAGCAGCGTCGCCGTGATGTCGGCGATCGGCTCCATGTTGAGCATCTGAGCGAGCCATCGCCAGCCGTTGTTCAGACCGTGAGGAGACTGAAAGAAATCCAATGTTTTTACTGTCAGAGAAGAAACCTGATTCTCTACACACACACAACGAAGGGGAGATAAAAAAGTATTAAGACAAATGGAGAACATTCAGTCTTTAGTGTGAGAGGACGTTTTGATGTAACTGCAGCCAACGCCCGGTGGACTTCAGGCCGATGCAGACGCCATGTGTGAGGCGTACGACTCGTTTTAAATCCATTCAGCTCCATGACCTGGCGTCAGTCGTGTGGTGGACACTGAGGCTCGATGGCCGATCACTTTTCGATCAGCTGCTCTCGACCAGTCGGATGTTTGATACACGACTGCACACACTCACATTTTAACTGACAGACAGCGTCTGAAATCACCGTGGCAACAGCAGGCATGTTCTTTTTATCTGTCTCCTCCCTCCTGTCATGAAATACCTGAAACATCTGCAGGCCTCCAGCTGACAGGGAATATTTGATTTAGCCGTGCATGCGAGACATCTGAAATCGACTTTTCTATCGTACATCGTGAGCTCAGGTCGTGTATCGTAAATGATTCAGTCGGCGATGTGAGCAAAGACTTTTCTGCTATTGTATGTCTGGCTTTAAATGACTAGAGCTGCTCATTGAAATGTGATGCATCAGAGGTTATACTTTAAACGTTCAGTAGCGTGCTGAATAGCTGGTTAAAGATCTGGCTCCTCCTTTAAAATGATTAACGGGTCTGTTTTTTACCCCCTGCTTGGCGCCGTAGGGCCACCTGAGCTGGATGATGGCGGCGTAGAGACGGATCATCCCCGACATCCTCTTCAGGAAACTGTCCTGACCTTCGACCCCGGAGTCGTCCACGCGGTAACCGAGAATCCTGAAGACATAAAAGAAACGTCTTTTAAATCCGTCCAGATTTTTTATTAAACCATAGAAAGTGTGTGAGCCGCCTCCTGACCTCTGGTAATCCTCCACCGCCATGCCCTCCTTCATCGGGGGGTAATGAGGGACGGCGTACGGACATTTCTTGTGCAGGTGGGCGAGGAGGAAGTCGCCGACTCGAGGGTGAAGCTCCCAGACGCCCGAGGCCACCACGGCGATGGGGAACGCCGCTTCATGATGGGACGCCACCTCCTCCTCTCCTTGTTTCTGCAGAGACGATAAAAAGAGTTTTAAAAGAAAACATTTCAAACAACGGGACATGAAAACACGATAAGACGGAATAAAAACATGTCCAGTGTTTTTCACTCACCACAAACTTCTCAGCCAGTTTGTAGCAGACGAAGTCGAGGCCTTTAGGATGCTGCGAGGTGGAGACGGACCGCCCCCCCGACACCACCGCCCGGCCCGACACCAGCTTGTCGATCTTGTCGAAGATTTCTCGGAGCTGTGATCCGGAGTTGCTGGAGATCTGACTGACGGGGATGCTGGCGGCTTTCTGGAGCTCCAGCTTGAGCTTCTTAGTCTGAGAGCAAGTAAATATATAAATACTGTAAATAAATATAATATATATAAATACTGTAAATAAATATAATATATATAAATACTGTAAATAAATATAATATATATAAATACTGTAAATAAATATATATAAATACTGTAAGTAAATAAAATATAAATACTGTAAATAAATATAAAATATATAAATACTGTAAATAAATATAAATATATATAAATACAATATATATAAATATAAATACTGTAAATAAATATAATATATATATAAATACTGTAAATAAATATAATATATATAAATATATATAAATACTGTAAATAAATATAAATATATAAATATAAATACTGTAAATAAATATAACATATATAAATACTGTAAATAAATATAACATATACAAATACTGTAAATAAATATATATAAATACTGTAAACAAATATTATATATATAAATATAAATACTGTAAATAAATCTAAATATATATAAATACTATAAATAAATATAATATATATATAAATACTGTAAATAAATATAAATATATATAAATACTGTAAATAAATATAGTATAAATATATAAATACTGTAAATAAATATAACAAATATATAAATACTGTAAATAAATATATATATATAAATAGAGAAATACTGAAAATAAATATATATAGAAATATACCTCATTTCGTTACTCTATACCACCTCATTTCGTTACTCTATACTTGTATATGTGTAATGACAATAAAGTTGAATCTCATCTCATCTCTCATCTCAAATACTGTAAATAGAAACTCCTCAAAAAAAGTTTGGAAACGTTATTTCGGTCCCTTATTTCGCCCCTTTAATCATTTGTGTTATATTTTATATTGTTGGAAAGCCTGATTAGTCACCTTTACAACGAGGCATAACTTGTAAGGATTGTGTATTCATGGAATGAGCAACACAGCTAAACGTTTGGGTAGCACCCCAATAGAAATGTGCTAAAATCCCCAGCAATGTTCTTCTGTTGGTATTACGACCAATCACATGCGTCTGTGCTGATGACTGACGAACGTCGAATGAAGTATTTTCATCCCTCGTTATTCACACGTCAGGTCATGATCGTGGACACCATGTTCTCCTCCTGAGTCCGAATAAAATTCTCTCAGTTGTTTAAATCAGGTGATATTTATATTAAAGAGAGGAGATGAGTCATGAATTATTTAAAGAAAACAGAGGAATGTAAAGTGAGACATGAAACACCCCCGTGTCGCTGGAATGGAACGATCCTGACCGTCGACTGAGAGCAGACTTCAGATTTAATTTTAGGCTTTTTTTATATATTTAAGTGGATAGAGCAGGAAACCGAGAAAGAGAGAGAGGAATGACATGCAGGCCGCCCGCTTGGAGGACTAAATGCTGCGTTCAGGTGCTGCTCGGATGGTCCAAGTTTCTGAGTTGGGAAGTCGACTTCAGTGTGTTCATGTGATTTCAGTTGAGAAAGTTTGAATGTTTTAACAACAGCACAAAACAGAGTTGATGCTACAAAGAAGAAGAAGATCAGTGAGATGTAACTGTTAAAAGTTGACATGCAATACGTGAATTAATAAAAAGTATGTTAACATGAACAAAACATCTTTTATGTGATGATGATTCAGACGTCAAGTCGGGTACTTAATTATTTTCAGAGTTTCCGAGTTCTTGTTCCGACTTGAGCAGGTTTTACAACTCTGAAACTAATTTTTCCGATGTTTCCGACGCCACCTGAATGCACCATATAGGCTCCGTACATGAGGTGGGCCGTCATCACTCACCTGTGCGTCTTTCGGGGCGCTGAGTTGTTCGAAGGACTTGGCGCACTGAGCAGCCGACTCCTGCAGCTCCTTGAACCATTTCAGCGTGCCGTCCTCGGCGCTGTTCTGCAGACCTTTACGAGGACCACAACCAGGACTTAGATTATTCTGCACCGCCGGACGCCACCACAGACCAGAACATGAGCGAGTAACGAGACGAGCAGATCTCTCACCTTTCCTCTGCGCCTTCTCTTTGGCCGACTGCTCCGCCTTCTTCTGCGCTTCCTGCTGCGCCTGGAGCTCCGCCTTCTTCCTCAGCTCCTCCTTCTCCTCCGCCTGCTCCTTCTTCTTCTGCTCCTGAGCCTCGGCGACCTCCTCCTGCATCAGCCGGATCTGCGCCCGCATCTCGTGGAGCGCTCGCTCGGCCACCGCCATGTCCTCCACGCTGGGAAACTCTCCCTGAGGAGACGCAGACGGACGGGAGGGAGGAGTCATATAAAAACTGCACACTACATGTTGTAGTATTGTGAAGGAGGGAACCACGATCCAAACCTGAACACATTAGTAAAGACTCAAACTGACCTCTGCCGTCTTCCTCACGACCTCGGACACCTGCGAGCACAGCTGGTTCCCGCGGGCGCTCAGGGAGCTGAGGCTGGCGGCGGGGAGGTCGGTTTTAGACAGCTTGGACGGATCCAGCAGCTGGTTGAGCTGCAGGATCTCCTCCTGGATGGTGTTCAGGTTCCTCAGCCTCTCCCTGCCCTCCACCTGACGCTGCCGCTCGAGCTCCGCCTCCTTCAGGCGCTGCTGCTCCGCCTCCCGCAGCCGCAGGTTGAGGATCTGAAGACGCAGACGAGGAAAGGAAAATATTTAAATCGTACAAAACAGGCAAAAGTAGGAGGGCGAACATTCTCCGTTTGATGCTCAGAATGAGGTATAAAAACCATCTCAAATAAAAAAGATGTAGCAGTGTCGGTCATACAGCAGCCGTTTTCTAGAGACTGTTGTCATGGAGACAGGATGGAAGTGCAGCGCTTTTATTCTCAGTGCACAAACTCTTCATCCAAATGCTCCAGAGCGCACAGCCAACGTAAGATGGACACAGGGACCTTACTTTGTCTGATATGGAAAAGTTCAATGAGGGTCTGGATTTATTCCAGACTTTAGTGTTTGCATTATTTGATCATGATCTATTAGAGAGGCTTAAAAGTTGTTGTTTCAAGAACTTTAAAGATCACATATCCTCCTCCTCCTCCTCTTCAGTTTAAAAAAGTGTCAGAGCTCCTCAAAACATGTGTGTGAAGTTCTAAATCCACTCTGATCCTGTATTTGATCATGTCTATAAACCCCTCTATTTCAGCCCTGCTCAGAACAGGCTGTTTCTGTGTCTGTACCTTTAAATATGTAAATGAGCTACTGTGTCCTCTATCCGCTGATGATCGTACCTTCATCCTGTGTCGCTGCTCCTCCTTCAGCTTCTCTTGTCGCCCGATGCTCTCTTTCGTCCTGCAGACAGAAATCAAACAGACGGACGGGTCAGTACACGGGCAGTATTTCAGAAGCGTTGTTGAATCATTGCAGGGGGCGTCTTACTCTCGGTCCATCATGTCCCTCATGCTCTGGTACTCCTGTCTCTGTTTCAGCTCCATGAACTCCTCGAAACGCTTCAGCTGCTCCGACTCGGAGCTCGCCACCGCCGCCACCAGCTTCTCCTGCATCTCCTGCCGCAGTTTTGAGCGCCATCTGAGCACAGAGGTTCAACACATCACTCAGGAGAGACTACAGCGTCTGTAAAGGTTTATAATAGTCTAAAGCAGCGGTTCTTAACGGTCTATCCTAAGAACCCACAACAACATGACCTTAATGAGACATGGGAAACAGATTTCTGATATTTTCCAACTCGCGATATTTGGTCGAGTTTAGACCTCAGACGGTAAAAGATGAGATGGAACAAAACAATCATTTCACTAAAAAAGGCGACTCTGTGACCCACTTTTGGTTCCTGACCCACCAGTTGAGAACCACTGGACTATATGTAAGTCTGACCCCTAGTGTTTAAAATGTGTACTGCAGTCTAAATTCTAAACATCATAGAGAGCTGTCCCCCCCCCGTCCTCCTCTCTAGAGTGGATGCTCACTCAGGTCACCATGTGGTGGACTCTGAAGCTTCAGTGTTTCTCCAGCTCTGCATGGGTCTGTAAACCTTTCTGTGTTCTAACCTCTCTCCATTTTTCAAAAGCATCTCCAATATTGATCCTAGTTTGAGCACGTTTCTGCTCGTGGAGCTTATTAGAAACATGCAGAGGCTTTTTAGGTCGGGTACAATCACTTCTATCTGAACCACTTCTCTTGCCCGCTTCCATCGCTGCAACACCTGTTGACCTGATAACTGCTCTCATATCTGACAAACCGAGGGGCGTCCAAAACGGCCGTGTGGGGGCGTGTCTTAAAAGCGCCTACCTTCTCTGGTCCAAACAAATCCAGAGCATTCAGGAGCAGAATCTAAAGTTAGAAGGAGGACATACTGGCTGCTGAACAAACAGTTTATCTAAGAACGGTTGTATCTGACCTTCGCCTTTTCCCGCTGTTTCTCCTCAAACTTGAGAATGCGTCCGGCCGTCTCCATGGCTTTGGGTGACAGGAGAGAAATGGTGGGAAGAGAAACAGGAGAGGAAACATCGCTGATATCTGCATCTTCCTCCTTCAGCTCGACAGCCTGCAGCGGACAAAACAAGAGTAAATGTAAGAATCAGAGACGGAAACAGACGAGCTCAAAGCGAGTCAGAGGAGGAAGTACGACAAAACACAGAGAGAGAGAGAGAGAGAGAGAGAGAGAGAGAGATCAGGGTGTACTCAGGTGAGGAGACCTACCTGCTCACTGTCCGTCCTAAAAGGCGGAGCTGAATGCAGCGTGTTGCTCCTCCCGTTGATGTCCGGGATGGATCCCGAGGAGGACGCCGACGCAGAGTTCTCCTCTGAGAGGCCGGGGCTCGAGTCTCCTGAGCTGGAGCCCAGAAAGCTCCTGGAGGTCTGTGGAGGTAAAGGACCCAGACGCTCCAGAATGACCCCGGAGCGCGGGGACAAGCTGAGGTCCTCTCTGCAGCCCGCCAAAATGTCCTGTGAGAGCACAGACACACCTTAACCCTCAGGGGTATGATTCTGTCATCATCTTACAGAGATGTTAAAGAGAGAGAGAGCACCGACACACATTAACCCTCAGGGCTATGATTCTGTCATCATCTTACAGAGATGTTAAAGAGAGAGAGAGCACCGACACACATTAACCCTCAGGGGTATGATTCTGTCATCATCTTACAGAGATGTTAAAGAGAGAGAGAGAGCACAGCAGACGTTTTAAAACTCTGATTACAGCTAAAAAAAAATGTCTAAATGTTTGAGTTTCTGCGTGAAGAAGTTGTTCCCTTATGTCTTATGATCAATGAGTCTCTCTGTGAGGAGGTTCCTGGTTTATATCTCTCTCTCTGTCCATCTAAACAACATTATTTCATTAATATTATTTCATTAATATTATTTTATTAACATTATTTTATTAATATTATTTTATTAATATTATTTTATTAACATTATTTTATTAATATTATTTCATTAATATTATTTCATTAATATTATTTTATTAACATTATTTTATTAATATTATTTTATAAATATTATTTCATTAACATTATTTTATTAACATTATTTTATTAATATTATTTTATAAATATTATTTTATTAATATTATTTTATTAATATTATTTTATTAACATTATTTTATTAATATTATTTTATTAACATTATTTTATTAACATTATTTTATTAATATTATTTTATTAATATTATTTAATTAATATTATTTTATTAACATAATTTTATTAATATTATTTTATTAACATTATTTTATTAACATTATTTTATTAATATTATTTCATTAATATTATTTTATTAATATTATTTTATTAATCAAAGTGTTTCTTTAACTTCTCTGTAATTTTAGTGATTTATAAAAAACAAGTAGAGGAGGTTAGCTCTGCTCGGCTCATGTTGACTATCCTCCCAGTTTAACCCGGGTTAACTCACCTCTCCCCTCTCAGTTTAACCCGGGTTAACTCACCTCTCCCCTCCCAGTTTAACCCGGGTTAACTCACCTCTCCCCTCCCAGTTTAACCCGGGTTAACTCACCTCTCCCCTCTCGGACCAGTTTAACCCGGGTTAACTCACCTCTCCCCTCCCAGTTTAACCCGGGTTAACTCACCTCTCCCCTCCCAGTTTAACCTGGGTTAACTCACCTCTCCCCTCTCGACCAGTTTAACCCGGGTTAACTCACCTCCCCCTCGGACCAGTTTAACCCGGGTTAACTCACCTATCCCCTCCCGGACCAGTTTAACCCGGGTTAACTCACCTCTCCCCTCTCGGACCAGTTTAACCCGGGTTAACTCACCTCTCCCCTCTCGGACCAGTTTAACCCGGGTTAACTCACCTCTCCCCTCTCGGACCAGTTTAACCCGGGTTAACTCACCTCTCCCCTCTCGGACCAGTTTAACCCGGGTTAACTCACCTCTCCTCTCTCAGTTTAACCCGGGTTAACTCACCTCTCCCCTCTCGGACCAGTTTAACCCGGGTTAACTCACCTCTCCCCTCTCGGACCAGTTTAACCCGGGATAACTCACCTCTCCCCTCTCAGTTTAACCCGGGTTAACTCACCTCTCCCCTCTCAGTTTAACCCGGGTTAACTCACCTCTCCCCTCTCAGTTTAACCCGGGTTAACTCACCTCTCCCCTCTCGGACCAGTTTAACCCGGGATAACTCACCTCTCCCCTCTCGGACCAGTTTAACCCGGGTTAACTCACCTCTCCCCTCTCGGACCAGTTTAACCCGGGTTAACTCACCTCTCCCCTCTCGGACCAGTTTAACCCGGGATAACTCACCTCTCCCCTCTCGGACCAGTTTAACCCGGGTTAACTCACCTCTCCCCTCTCGACCAGTTTAACCCGGGATAACTCACCTCTCCCCTCTCGGACCAGTTTAACCCGGGTTAACTCACCTCTCCCCTCTCGGACCAGTACGGGTCGAACGGGATCTTGCCTTGGTGGACTTCTTAAGCCTCTAAAGTTTCCCATCGCAGATTTTCAGCAGGCATCGCAGCGAGATGAGAAATTAAAAACCCAAACTACGAACTCATGCTAACGCTGGGCTAAGTTTGAAAACACCGGATGGTTACATCAATGACAAACCGACGAGAAACAACCCGCCTCATTTCAGTTCCGCTGCGTTTCCGCTGCGCCATACCTGTGTACAGTAAATACCTGAAATATGATGTTTATTTTCTGTATATTTAAATCCTATATGTGGCATTAAAACAAGAAGACCTCAAATATGTAATGGAAATACAAAAGATGTTTTTTGTGTCTTGGTAACTCAACTGTAGACATCGTTTTGTTACAGTCTGATACACTCTGCATGATCAATATTCATTTCCTGCATTTCCACCAAAATAACCAAAATAACCTCCTCTCATGATAAAACTTAGAAAACGATTCTAAAACAGCACAAGATAAAATTCGGCCTTAAGTCATTCAAAAAGTATATTTCTTATGTGTTAAGTGTTACATGGTCCATGGCGCTTCGTGCCGGCACACCTCCCCTGAGAACCCGATCATAAATGTTTCTCTTTAAATTAAACACAATGTTGTCCTGATGAAATGTACGCCGAATTAAAAAACCGACACTATTTTTTTAAAATGTGAAAATATTTATTTTTCTTCATTTATATATTCGCTAGTAAGTAAGGATATCATGAATTGCCAAATTTATTAACGAGGTTTCGCACGTGAGTACAAAAATATGGTGATTTGACACTTTTTTTAGGAAATCACTTATTTTACTTCTTCTTTTTCTTTTTTTTTAAAAAGGAAGAATTATGTTTGGTTGCTCAACAATCTATTGTCTCAAAAATATTTAAAGAATTAAAACTAAAAGACACATTTCTCCTTAAAACAGCATTTTCTTAATCACAGCTGCTCTTAATTGATGTTCTTGTTCTCGTGTTTTTAACCCTGCCTGCTCTTATCGTTTGCTTTAAATGCTGGGTTAGTTTGTAGCACTTTGATTGTATTAATAAAATGAACTATTATATGTATGCACGTCTAAAAGTGAAACATTTTTTTGAAATGGGATACATTTAAAATACGGCAACAGAAACAAGAATGGCGCAGGAAAGAGATTTATTCAAAACAATATAAATACATTTCATGCAACAAATTAGTCATCATTTCTTTTAAAAGGATTTTATTCATTCAGTGACGAGCAGAGGTATTTAAAAACACGACGTGGGTCGACTTCATTGCTTTGAATGTATGAATGTTTCTCATGTTGGAGGAGTGTACGGTCAGCTGGTGAGCAAAGACTCTCCAAAGACGTTTCCATACGAGGTTTTAAGAAACTGAACATAATTCTGCAGACTTCGGTTTGTCGAGTCGGACTGCTCCAGTCGTTCCTTCATGTTCTGCAGCTGAGTCTTAAAACGACGCTCCATCTGGAGACACAAAACACAGAAACGTTTATCGTTTGATTTCCTGGTTCAGTCACAGCGTGCAGCAGCTCAAACATCAAAACTAACAGCTTTGTGACAAACGATGGAGGTGCTGCCGTACCTCCTCCTTGCTCCTCTGCAGCTGACTCTGCTCCGTCTTGGCTCGGCTCAGCTGGCTCTGCAGGTCCAACGCTTTGGACTGAGACGCTCGCTCTTTGGTCAGAACTCTCTGAATGCTCTCGTCAACCTGCAGGCCACGAGAATAGATAAATAAAAGAGCTTAGAATCTGACGAGCAGTGATGTAGAGTGATATACGATATAATGAATGTCAGTGTGACTGAGATAATATCTCTGAGAAATCATCATCTTGTGTTTAGGGGGCGTGTCACCGTAACAACGGGAAGATTGTGGCCGTAACCAAGGGGATAAAAATCAAACTACGGATGAATTGAAGTTATTTGTTCTTTTAAAAAGAACTAAATCACAGTGAGGACGTGGAAACAGCCGATCAGTGGTGGTCATGATTTGAAATAAGTACGACAACAACAACAAGCTGAGCTTCTTTCTCTCTGATGTTAAGATAGTGTACGTTGTCAAAGGATGCAGATAAAAGGTCTGAACAGGAAGAACCTGTCTCTGTGCGTCATCCAGAGCTTGTTGCAGCTGACGGGACACGACGCTGCACTCGAGCGTCTTCTCCTCCAGCTGCTGCTGAACGCTGCGGACGCCGGCTTCCTTTGACGAGAGAGACTGAGACATCGCGTTGTTTTCCACCTTCAGGTCCTCCAGCCGCCTGCAACACACGACACAGACATCAACAGCTGATGGCAGAGGAAAGGACAGAGGAGAGAGGAGAGGAAAGGACAGAGGAGACAGCGGAGGAGACAGCAGAGGAGAGGAGAGAGGAGACATCAGAGGAGACATCAGAGGAGAGGAAAGAGGAGACAGTGGAGGAGACATCAGAGGAGACATCAGAGGAGAGGAAAGAGGAGACATCAGAGGACCCAGCAGAGGAGAGGAAAGAGGAGACATCAGAGGAGACATCAGAGGAGAGGAAAGAGGAGACAGCGGAGGAGACATCAGAGGAGACATCAGAGGACCCATCAAAGGACCCAGCAGAGGAGACATCAGAGGACCCAGCAGAGGAGACAGCAGAGGACCCAGCAGAGGAGACATCAGAGGAGACAGCGTTGACGGTCAGCTGTGTCAGTGTGTGTACCTCTCTAAGTTGTGGACGGTCTCTTTGAGGACGTTGTTCTCTTCCTGCAGCAGCACGTTCTTCTGCTGAAACGTCTCCAGCTGAGCGCCCTGCTGCTCCACCTGGGGAGGAAGGAAACACAATCAAGGAGCTGCAGCAGAGTCCTCAGATCAGAAACAGAACACCCCCTCTGTCTGTCTCCTCTGTCCTTCATTTATCCTGAAACGTCTTT